AGAGCCAGGTGGAGCTTCCCCTCCTCCCTTTGGGGTCCGGAGCGAGGCCGAGTGCGCCGGGCCTGGCCTGGTTAGGGGGTGGAGGGTCCCAGGCCGTACTGGAGCGGCCGTGTAGACTTTTCATGGGGTTGGAACTGGTCTCTGTCCAGGTGCATCTGTTTGTGAATTTTGAACTTCGGAATGAAGTACGGACAGGATGGATTTGGAGGGGCAGTGAGGGGATCCCGCGCCTTGCGGAAGTCAGAAGTTTGGAGGGAAACAGCATTCTTGGAACAAGTTAGGGCCAGGTTGGAATGGTGTGTGGAAGAAGGGTTCCGAACTTTGCAGGGGCCCTGGAGGATCAGAGAAGTGCTTGGTTTAGTGCTGGGTGAAGAGGTTGGGGTCGAACTGCGTGTAAAGATGTGGCTCCTGCGCCTGAATGGATCAGTGAGAGGTGTGGAGTATCCGGATAAGGAGTAAGTTGCACTTGAGGATGTGAAGGGAGCTTTTCAGACTGGAGTGTGAAGTGGGTTGAGAGAATGAACTCACATGTGCAGTTTTCACAAAGTCTTGAAAAATGCATGCTTAGCACAGAGCCTGGCACATAGTGAGGAAGCAATAAATCAGGGTTATTTATATTTATAATAATTCCAAAAATTAAGCTCCAGTAGTGCTGGAGACAAAACAAAACAAAAAACTGGATTGGGTTTAAAAGTTTCGTATATGGAGATCGCTTGGCAGGGGCTGCTTCTATCTCCATGGCAGTGTAGGTTTCCTGCTATCATCCTGGCAGTTAAAAGTCTGTTGTAGGACTGTTGCTTTCAACTTCTTGCCTTTCTTTACCTTCCATAGCCTGCCAGTCTTTGGTGCCGAGCTTGACATAGAAAGTGTCCTGTAAAAACCACAAAACAAAACTGTTATAACTTAGGACTCTTTTTGAGACACATCCAATCAAGACAACATCTACAGCTCTTTGATAAGAAATGCATACCTAGGAGGAAATTTTCAAGAAGCATAATTAGGAAAGGCCACGTATTTGCACCTTTTGTGCTGGGAATTCTGCCATGTGTTATTTTCAGTAGGGAAAAGAAGGCGTTGCTTGTGTATGAAAGTGCAGTCTCTAGAAACTACAGGTTCCAGAATGCAGTCTGTTTTGATTTGAGCGGACACCTGCCACTGTCCTAGGATATCTTACTTTTTATTTCTACGTCTTACTTTCTCTATTCCTTATTATTCCTTTTAAGCTTCACAACATCCTTATGAGATAGGTAGTTTTATTTCCATTTTACAGATGAAACTGAGGCCCAGAGAGGTTAAGTAACTTGCATGAATGAAAACCCAGTTCCATCTGATTCTTGCTCACATCAGGCAAGAAGGCCTCCCCAGATGTCATCTAATTTGTGGGTGCTGTGTGATGTTCTCATATGCTCTTTAATTTGCTTCAAATTCTGAGATTTTGGTAAAAAAAAAAAAGTATTTCTCTGGTCTCCCTACTAGTACTATTGATTATATGGTCAAATAGGACAGAAATATCTATTCTTATTTCTAAACTCTGGACTCCTCTGTGAAATAGTCTGAAATTTGACCCATGAGAGGGAGTATGGCTCAATAATTTCTGCATACTTCTTCCCTTGAAGAAATTTGTCATAAAGTGTATCAGTAATTAAGGAAAATTATATAAAATGAGATTCCAAATTAGGATCTGTTGAATCACTGAGTATCCACCAATTACTTTATATGTTTATGAGGACTGTGATGAAAAATATTTTTCCTTAAATGTTCTTGTTGGATCACTGAGTGTATATAATTACAGGCTTATTAAGTCAAATCATTATAAAAGAATATCGCTGAGCGGGGTTTGGGAATTATCTTCTAGCTTCAGTGGGTTGGACTTCTTGAAGGTATATAGTTTTTTAATTTAAAATTTTAATATGCAGTGTATTCACGTAATGCAAACAAAAATAAAAGAAAGTATACAATGGAAAGGTTCCTCCTACCCCTTTACTCATTTCCCACTAACATCAAAATTCTCGTTTATTCCAGTTTCTTTATGCTTATACATAAAAATTCAAATATATTTAGTTTAGTTTTTTATCACAAAAGGTTGTATATTGTATACACTGTTCTGTAACTTGCTTTTTTCATATAACAATACATGATGGAAATCTTTTCATATCACTATATAGAAGGTTTCTTTATTCTACTTACAGTTGCAAGGAATTTCATTGAATGACTATAATGATTTACTTAACCATCTATTGGTGGACGTTTAGGTTGTTTCCAATCTTTTGCTGTTATAAATAGCTATTCATAGAATTGTTATATACACATGTACGTGCATTGTTATGGAGAGGTCACCTGTAGCTTTCACCACATTCTCAAAGGGTTGCAAAAAGAAAGCGAGGAACCGTTGTTTTAACACAGGTCCGTCATTCTACAGAAGGGAGAACTGAAGCCCAGAAGAGAGTAGAAGGTTACCACAGGCACCTGGGTGGCTCAGTCGGTTAAGCGCCTGCCTTCAGCTCAGATCCTGATCCCGGGGTCCTGGGATCAAGCCTGCTTTTCCCTTCCCTCTGCCACTCCCCCTGCTTGTGCTTCTCGCTCTCTATCAAATAAATAAATAAAATCTTAAAAAAAGTGACCAGCGAATGGTCATCATGAGTTAGTAGCAGATAAGAGTAACCCACAAATAAGGGCTAAAACATAGCCTAATTCCCAGTTAAATGCTCATGATGGCTTTTTTTTTTTTTTTAAAGATTTTTTATTTATTTATTAGACAGAGAGAGACATAGCGAGAGCAGGAACACAAGCAGGGGGAGTGGGAGAGGGAGAAGCAGGCTTCCCGCCGAGCAAGGAGCCCGATGTGGGACTCGATCCCAGGACCCCGGAATCATGACCCGAGCCGAAGGCAGACGCCTAACGACTGAGCCACTCAGGCGCCCCCATGATGGCTTTTAATAGGGAAAACTAAAGACCAGTTTTATAAATATTTACATTGTGTTTTTGAGTGGGAAACAGCAATAGAAATAGCAGTTTTAGGTATATTCAGAAGTATATTGCTTAGCAATATTCTTTTGGCATAGGCCAATTGATAAAAGAAAGGTCAGGCCTGCTTTATAATACTGGAAATTAAATTTTGTTGTAAATGCACTGGACAATTTTGTTGTTGAAGCCCCATGGCTCTTTTGGAATTGAATTGTCTATGAAATAAGTGCAAGAGTTTGTGCTTGTTGAAAATTTTGGTTGTGTTGCTGACATTTTTGTTTTTTGCCAGCTTCTTGGCAAGCTTTAAAGTTCAGAACCTTAAGGACTCCTATGTAAAATGTTTTGTTTTATTATATGCATTGTCAGTTTGCTTTTGGTTATAGTATCAGTTGATTTGTGCAACATTGTGTGAAGGTTATTACAACTTTATATTCCTCAAGGAGCTGTAGCTCACTGCATATACTGACATAGCATTTGGACCATTTTGAGCAATATTCACAAGTATGTAATGAATGCCTTGGCTCTGCCAGCCAGGCACTGTGCTAGGTCCTTGGGAGACATTAGTGAATGAAATGGTTCAAGATTTCTTCCTCTTGGAGCTTGTATTCTAAATTTAGAGACAGTCTTGGTCCATTGATTAAAAAAAAATGTAGCACACAGGCATAGATAGGTACCTTTGCAACTGCAGTTGACCCTTGAACAACAGGAATTTTAACTCTGTGGATCCACCTACACGTGGATATTTTTCCATGAATACATTACAGTGCTGTAAATGTATTTTCTCTTTCTTAGGATTTTCCTAACATTTTCTTTTCTCTAGCTTTATTTAAGAATATAGTATATAATGCATATAACATACAAAATATATGTTAATCAGCAGTTTATATTATTAGTAAGGCATCCGGGCAACAGTGAGCTGTAAGTAAAGTTTTTGGGAAGTCAAAAGTTACTGTGGATTTTTGACTGTGCCAGGGGTCAGCGCCCCTCACCCCTGTATTGTTCAGTGGTCAACTGTATGTACAACATAATACTTAAGTCTCATTGGTAATAATTAATGAATTTTAAGAATTCATTTAGCCTTCTGATTTGAAATCAGGAGTGATCATTCTAAATGATACTGCCTTTGAACTTGAAACCAAGACCTTGGGGTGCCTATGGGTGGTTCAGTGGGTTAAGTGTCTGCCTTTGGCTCAGGTCATGGTCCCGGCTCAGGTCATGGTCTCAGAGTCCCTTGGCAGGCTCCCTGCTCAGTGGGGAGTCTGCTTCTCCCTCTCCCTTTGCCAGTCCCCACTGCTCGTGCTCTCTCACTCTCTCTCAAATAAATAAAATCTTAAGAAAAAAAAAAAAGAAATCAAGACCTTTTAGGACAATTCTTTTTCTTCTACCATGGGTAATAATTGAAAAGCTCGACAAAGGCCAATGAATGTTTTAAACTGGCAGTTAGAACTTTTTAAAAAATTTTTAGTGTTAAAAGTGCATTTCAAAAATTGAATAGTACCTCATTTATCCCTTCCCTTTAATCCTACCCAGTGTCCCTGTTCACTTAGGGTTAACATACATTTAAAAAATTTCCTCTTTCTGTGACAAACAAGTAGTTCTGGTTTATTACTCAGTTGGCAGACAATGTTTGCTATGTGTGGAGCCTAAATTACATTTAGGACTAATGAATAATGAAATCATGTGATTGTGGTGGAAAAGGACAAGAATTTCCCTCATCTGTAAGGATTTGTTTTAAAATGTATAATGACTCAACTTTTTATCCTTAGTGACACATATTCCAGAATTTGAGAGTGTCCTTATATGTTATCCTAATGCAGGAAACAACTCAGAATGAGATGACCTCACCAACTAAATATTAATTGCCATTGAAGGAATATCTCTGTTCTATAGAATTCAGGATTGAGCAGCAGGAATTTAGGAGGTATTTGTTTTTG